GTAGTATCCCTATGTACAAAAGTTACAGTAGAAGATGCAATTAAATGTTTTGAAACAAAACTGTTAGAAAACAAAATTTCAGCAGTTGAAACTATAGATATAGTTAATTTAACTAAGGTATGTGTTACAAATCCATTTTTTCAAGTTAACAATAATTTCTATAAACGAAATGAAGGGTTAGCTATGGGATCACCACTCTCACCATTATTATTTGATTTATATATGGATGTGTTTGAAACTAAAGCCATAAACAATGTAAAATGTAAACCTGATATTTGGATAAGGTATGTAGATGACACATTCTTGGTGTGGAAATATGGTAATAAGGCATTAACAGAGTTTGCTTACTATTTGAACAGCATTGAACCATCCATACAGTTTACGCTTGGAATTGAAAAAAATAATAGTTTGCCTTTTCTAGATCTATTGGTGAAAAGGAATGTACAAGGTAATTTAGAAACATCAGTTTACCAGAAACCTTTTTCTGTTCTTATGCCCCCACACCAAGAATCATGTCATACTAAGTCACAAAAAATGTCTGCGTTTTATAGTTATGTTAACAGAGCTTTGAAGATATGTACTAACCAAAATGATTTAAAAAACGAATTCTTATTAATTAAATATATAGCAGTAAAAAGAGGTTTTAACCTAGATCTTATAGATAGAGCAATTAAAAAATTCACTAATACTATAATAATTGATCAAGTTAGTACTTTAAAACCTAGTTATGAAAAAATTAAAAAGGAAGGCTTGATCTTACCATATGTTCCAGGTTTAACTACTAGTTTATTTAAAATGTTCAAAAAACAACAGATATTCTACCCTATATTTAAACCGATAAATAAGATGAATCAAATCTTACATACTACGAAAGACGAAATACATTTAACTGAAAAACTGGAATATATATAAAATAGAATGTGAATGTGGAAGTCTTTACATTGATCAGACAAATGTAATTTAAAATACCGCTTAAATGAGCATAAAGGATATGTAAAAAATAAAAAACTGAAAATTCATCCATAGCGGAACATGTACAGGAAACACAACACACAATATTGTGGGAAAAAACTGTAATATTAGCTCAA